GGTTGAACCACGTTTTTGTCATGTAGTAGCATCTTTTTAACCCTTTCTGCATTTAGAAAAAAAAACTGTAGCTTGCTACCAGTGCTCATTTAATTTTATATAAACACACTCTTTGAGGCTGAAGCAAATCTGATTTCCAATGTGAAAATAAAACATAAAAACTGTTCTTGGAGTTATTTCTAAACAGAACTAACATCAGAACCTTCTGACTCGTAAGAATCATTTATTTTAGAAAATTCAGATTCATCAAATGAGTCTTCGGCCAACTGTTTGAGAACATCATGTTAACATCACCTTTAGGAATGTTATGTGGGAGAGTTTATAATTAAAAATTTAATTTTTTAAATAGACATAAAGCTAATCAGGTTATCAGTTTCTTCTTCAGAAAGCTTTAGTGGTTCATGGTTTTTGAGGACTTAAAAAAAATCTCATCTAAGTTTCTGAATTTATTGGCATAAAGCTCTTCATAATATTCCCTCAGTTATAATATGTGTAGAATCTCAGCCACTCGAGGTGGCTCATGTCTGTAATCCCAGCACTTTGGGAGGCTGAGGCAGGCAGATCATGAGGTCAGGAGTTTGAGACCAGCCTGCCGCATGGTGAAACTCCGTCTCTACTAAAAATACAAAAAATGAACTGGGCACGGTGGCACGCACCTGTAGTCCCAGCTACTCAGGAGGCTGAGGCAGGAGAATAGCTTGAACCCAGAAGGCAGAGGTTGCAGTGAGCCGAGATCACTCCACTATACTCCAGCCTGGGGGACAGAGCAAGACTCCGTCTCAAAAAAAAAAAAAAAAAAAAAATGTAGAATTTCTAGTGATACTACTTTTCTCTCTCTCTTTTTTTCCTGTTATGTCTGGCTTGCAATTAGTAAATTTTATTGACTTCCTCAAGGAACCAGCTTTTGGTTTCCCTGATTTTTCTCTCTTTTATTTTAACTTTTAAAAAATTATATTCTTTTTAATGTTTGCAGTGGATTTCATTTGCTCTTTTTCTGTTTTCTTAAGGTGGAAGCTCATTCTTTTAGTGCCATAAATTTCCCACCAAGTACTGCTTTAGGGCAGACCACAAATGTTGCCATGTTGTATCTTTATTTTCTCTTTGTTCAAAATATATTCTGATTTCCTTTGTTATTTCTCCTTTGACTCTGTGTTATTTAGAAGTGTGTTATTTAATTTCTCTATGTAATTTGGGATTCTTAAGAGATTTTTCTGTGGTTAATTTCAAATTTAATATTGTGTTCAAAGAAAATACTTTGTAAAACTTGAATCCTTTTAAGTTTGTTGAAATATATTTTATAGCCCAGATCTTGGTAAGTATCCTCAACAAGAATGTCATTTAAAGGTCAGATTTTAGAAAATTAAAAAAAATTTCTTAAAATTTTTTTTCCTCTTCCCTTTGGAGATTGGAATAATATGTGTATTAGGCTGCTTGAAATTGTCCCAATATCAATGATTTTTGGGGGGGTGGTGTTATTTTTTATTTTTTCTCTTTGTGTTTTATTGTAGATACTGTAGTTCCTTGTTGCCATGTCTTCAAGGTCATCTTTTCTTCTGCAGTGTCTAATCTGTTCTGTCAAATGTGTTTTTAATATCAGATATTGTAGCTCCTTTGTTGTTTCCTTTTTGTCATTTTTTTTTTTTTTTAAAGACATGGAGTCTTGCTTTGTTGCCCATGGTGGTCTTGAACTCCTGGCCTCAGCTTCCCAATGTGCTGGGATTACAGGCATGAGTCATTATGTCTGGCCAAATATTGTAACTTTCATCTCTAGAAGTTTTATTTTTGTCTGTCTTATATCTTCCATGTCTGTACTATTTGAATGTAAGCAATGGTTTTAATGTTCTTGTCTCCTAGTTTTAACATCTTTTTCAAGTCTGAGTTAGCATTGATTGATTTTTCTCCTTATAATGGGTCATATTTTTCTGCTTTTTTTTTTTTTTTTGCATGCCTTGGAATCTTTGATTAGAAGCCAGACATTAATTTTAACCTGTTTTGTGCTGTTTATTTTTATATTCCTACTAATATTCTTGACATTTGTTCTGGGATAAAATTAAATTACCAAGAAATAGTTAATCCTTTTTTGGGCCCTACTTTTAAGATTTGCTAGGTGGAAACAAGAATGTTTGGGGCTAACTAATCTCTACTACTTAGACACGACCCTTCTTACTGCTCTGTGTAAAATGTAAATTGAAGAGATTTTGTAGTCTGACTGGTGGAAATAGGCATTCCCATCCCTGTGTGAGTGTCTGGTACTATTCTCTCTAATCCTTTTGGATGATTCTTTCCCCAGTCTCACATGTTTTCTTTCACATTTTGAATACTCTGCCAAGTATTCAGTAGATATTCTCCTTTGGAGATCTGTGGGAGTATTTCTCTGTGTAGCTTTCTCTTGTTTATTACTAGATCTTTCAAATTTATTTGCCTTAGTCTCCCTGGGTTCTCATCCCTTTCTGCTAAACTTCAGGTTTGTCAAGAGTGTACCAGGTTCTTGCTTTCTGTTCTGGGGCCTGGAAAATCTGAAGGCAGTAAACCTAAGGCAGTGCTAGAATTCACCTAGCTGTCTTTCATGGATTATTGTCCTATTCCTTGATTTCTCGTGTCTTAAACACTGTTTCATATGTTTTGTCTGTTTTTTGTTTATTTTATTTTTTGATGGTTTCAGGTGGGACAGGAAATCTGATCCCTGTTAATTTATCTGAGTTGGAAGTGGAAGTCTGGTACTCACTCTTGCTTTGTGTATAATAATTTGAGGTTTGACTTTATGCTATAGAGCACATTAGACTGTTTAATCCATCCCTCTAAAGGTTTATGTATTTGTATGTCAAAAAGGTTTTAAAGATAAAACAAAAAAAAACTTAGTTTTAAAACTTCTTATTGGGAAGATGAGAATTTAGGATATCATATTTTGGCATATTCAGTATGTCCTCCATAACACCTAGTAAAATTAAATTATGTAAACGAAGTACCCAGGCCAGGTGTGGTGGCTCATGCCTGTAATCCCAGTGCTTTGAGATGCCAAGGTGGGAGGATTGCTTGAGCCCAGTAGTTCAAGACCGGCTGTAGCAATACAGCGAGACCCCATCTCTACAAAAAACAAAGTACCCAGTACATATTTGAGGAGTAAATACATTAATAATTTAATTTTAAAAGTTCCATGACCCTTCCTAAATCCTGAGACGTTCTAATTATCTACAGTTTGTGTAGCAATTCTTTGAACTGTTGAAAGATCTCCTGACAAATTGTTACTGATATTGTGTTAAACAATAATCTTGATCTTTGTAGTAAATTAACTGGAATGCCCAATTTTAAGTTTCTCTGTTCATCAAGAAACAACATATAGGGGTCATATTCAGGAACTGCCTATGGTATACTTTAAAATTTTTGGATCTACTAGGATATGATCTTTCTCACCTCTTTGAGATTTGATGTCAGTTCAAGGGAAGCATTCCATTGATATCAGTTAGGCGGCTATTTGTTGACTAAAATTCTGGTACTCTGGCATAAGCTCTTTCTAAACATCCACAAATAGGTTGTTAATAGAATGGGATCATACTTTTCACTTGGGGACCTGCCTACTTGTTAGGTGAGATGTCATCCTTGAGATGTTTGGAAGACTTGTGAGGCTTTTTTTCTTTTGCCAACTAGGTGTGTGCCAGCTTCTCTGACCTAAATGTAGCTTCACTGGGAATTTCACTACGAATACTTCATCTTAACTCTAATTCCCCTGGTAACCCAACATTGCTGGTTTTAGAATTTAATAATCTTCAGAAATTCTTTAAGATAAATTTGCTATTTTCTTTATTATCTTTTAATTAGTTTTATAATGTGGTTTTTATTGTGTGTATATACTAGCATTGCTTTGGACACAAAATAGACTATAAAGGAAATTTCTAAATTCTGAATGCAGTTTCTCATTGATCTAAATTATTGCTGTATTCCTCTTGAAAATTTTTTGGCGAGGTGTGGTGACTCATGCCTGTAGTCCCAGCACGTTTGGAGGCCAAGGCAGGTGGTTTGCTTGAGCTCAGCAGTTCGAGACCAGCCTGGGTAGCATAGAGAAGCCATGTCTCTACAAATAATACAATAGTTAGGGCTTGGTGGCATGCATCTGTAGTCCCAGCTACTCAGGAGGCTAAGGCTAGAGGATCACTTGAGCCCAGGAGGCTGAGACTGCAATGAGCTGTGATTGTGCCACTACAGTCCAGCCTCAGCTGCACAGTGAGATCCTATCTCTATAATGAGAGAGAGAGAGAGAGAGAGACAGGAGGGGAGGGGAGGGGAAGGGAGAATGGATGGAAGGAAGGAAGGAGGGAAGGAAGAAAGAAAGGAAGGGAGGAAAAAAATCTACCCTAACCAAAAGAAGTTTGTTCTTTTCAGTGTCCTTACTTTTAAAATAGTTGGATTGATTTTTAATCTTTCTCAAATATAATCTTAAACAGAATATATGGATGTGTTTCTGATGTCGTAGAGTTACCATTGTAATATCAATTATTGTTTGGTGCCATAGACATAGTGTAGTTCTCTCTCTCTTTTTTTTTTTTTTTTTTTTTTTTTTTTTTTTTT